AGTATTTAACACCATGACTCGTAGCTGGTTCAAGGTATTTTCATATTTATCACCAGATTGCTGACTTCCTGTAAGTTGTTTAAGTATGTCAGTAATTACTAGATACTACACTCCATAATGTTACTGTGGAACTCGTTTGTAAACATATTTGTTACATCCCAATACAAAAACAGAGGAAAATAATATTGGGAAAGTTTCCTGTTGGTATAGAATGTACGATGTCATTATCGTCTACTCGTCACCTTTCTTGTGATTTTTGGGGATGACTATTTCTGATTCGCAGAGTTATCTTCAAGTCTACCCGAAGAGATTGTTCCAGGTCGACGCACGCTGTCAAGTCAACAACCGACTATCGATCCTCATTAATTATCGCACGGTGTACTTGGATGTGATTGAAAAGTACACCGCGGAAAATTGGACGCTCACGACGATCCCGGTAGTGGTTTAATTGGCTGGGTATAGAGGTGATCAGGAAGGAGTGGTAGAAGCAGGATTAGAATATGTCTTCAGTATATAGGATATTCTTCCGGCTTAATATACGGAATGTTTTTTTTTTGGCTTTTGAAGTTTTTAGGAATTTAGGAATTTTTCTCAAGATAAACTCAAGAGACTTTTTTAAAAGTTTAGACAATCATTTTAACTACAACAAAGTCTGCACCGCAGTAAATACAATCAAAAGCTTCTTAATTAAAATATTTTTATAATTTCGGCATGGAAACATTATTTTAAGTAAATAATGCATTTGCTCTAAGTAAATACTTCATGTGACACGCGATACTTGTTGATTGTTTTTCTTAAATGTACAATTTATTTTTTTTTATAGTGTTTACAATTGTAATTGAAATACAAGTAAACCGTTACTAATTTTAATACGTACATACATAAATATGTATTATTGTCTCATTGTTTATGTGTTGAATTGTTAATGAACAAACACATTGCAGTAGGTATACGTTTTTTTGCCTCGTTATTGCGAAATTAGTCACTGCAAACCGAGCTACAAGCATAGTACAAAATAGAGCGTTTTTCGAAATTTATATCGACCGTATAGATTTATGTGTTTGGTCCTGCTAGTCATTGTTCAAAGGCGCCCTTACAAAAGTCGTGTTTTATTTACTTGTGATCTCAGTTAATTTAATCTGACTGACCAGTAAGCATTCAGGATAACTGAGATTAATTGAATAGAAATGTTAAAAATATGCGACAAATGGTCTAGATAGTAAATTTACAAATTTGGCTTTTGTTTCGAGTTAAAGCCATATATAGCTACGTTTGTTTCTCAGCGTTTTCTCTATAAAATTAATCTAAATATAAAACGTTCGGGCATTAGGCAAGGTTAAAAAAACATATTATTTCCATTAATTTTAGGTTTTTACTCGATGCATCCTATAAATAGAACCCATTCATTCATTTATTTAAAGTGAAATGGATGTAATCCAAGTAATTGATCGAACATTATCGAATTTGTGGTTTCATTCAACTTCAAACAAAAGCAGATATAATTAATCTATAAACAAAGTTTACTTTAAAATTTACTTGCTTTCAGTCTACAAGTTTGCCATTGTTCTCGCAGTAAATTTAATTTATAGAAGTTTCTTTGAATATTGCCAAATAAAAAATGCATGATTTCGCCTTGCGTCTAGCGTCTAGTATTTTTTAAATTAGCTTAACTGGGTTCAGCTTGTATAACGCATATTCTCGATCTCGATAAAAATCTAAGTTATTTCAAAGAACTTGTAAAATGTCTCTCAGGTACCTCTTTACAACGTCTTAATGGCACTAACCATTCCTCGCAGAACCCAGGCGGACAGAAAAGTGCACTTTCAGACATGCAACTTATAATTCCGAGTCAAATGTCGCCTCTTTTATCTCCTAACTGCATAGCTGGGGTTGGTCGTGACGACTTTTGTTAAGGTAGCAATGCAGTTGATGTTTGTTTTGCTGTCTAGATAAGGAGTAGAGTTGCTATTTTTGTTCTTCGCCTTTTTAAAACTTCAGAATTGGTTTCAGATTTTCCTAATTTGTTTATCCAATAAGAAAATAACGTTTAGATTTGCGAAGAACAATGCGTTTCGCTTCATTTTCTGGAAATGTTGGACGTGTTTATTGGCAGCAGCTCGTGTTGTAGATGTGCCTTACACTAATTGACGGGTGTTTGAATGATATTTCCGAGTGGTCTTAAATAAAAATATTGTAAGTAAAAAACTGTGTTACGAGGTAGCGAATGTCACTTTTCAAGGATTTTTTTATCGGGAAAATCGCAGTCAAACTTTATTATCGCCTCTTTGAGAGCTCAGTAAACTTTTAAAATGCGATCGTTCCTATTTGTGTAATGTGCATTGGTCTACTACTACATAATATAAGCTTCTCATGAATGAAATCGATTTTGTCGATACCGAATAACTTCGTCAGCGCCACAAGGTATATTTAGAATAGGTAACTATTTTGGTATTCGAACAATTTCAACTGGCAACTCCCTAAGATAATTCTTTCTGGGGATATATTTGGCTTACGAGCTTTAACTGCGGACTATTAACCAAAAATAGATTAGATATAAGCCCGGAATTAAAATATCGTGAGCTTGATGTATCGAAAACATTTATTTTTAGTTTTTTACATGTTGTTTGTCTGTAAAACAATCTGAAACTGAAATATTTACTTTAAATTAAACTGTTGGATTTAGAATATTATATCCCTATAATTCTTGCAAATATTAAAAGCATTTCTTTTATATTTGGATCAATTTGAAAATTTTAAATCGTACCATTTTAGTTTCCAACTCAAATTTATTACATTTTTTAATTTCTTTCAGTGCCTACATTAATAGAATCTTTTTGATAAATCCAAAACATGTTTTCGCTAGCTTCTATCGATGTAGGACATTTTTTAAATATTTACCGCTTTCATTACGGGATCAAAGATTTTTATTTGGAGCTCAGCCTTGGACGAGTTTGATATACTTTGAAATTGTACATAAAATTAGTGAGACATTAGGTGCTGCGACATGTCTCCAGTTGTTTACATTCGCATTATCATTTTTTGTGCGCTGTGTCACAATAAATAATAAAATATGTATGCAGTTGACGTTACCCATATCCAAGTCGTATAGTTGTGTAGCATGTGTTTTACAAATTAGATGATTGAATGGAAATGCTTTCACGCAGAGGTATACCAGCTCCAAGGCTTTGTACTTTGTAATGTTAAAGGAATTTGGCAGTTTTGCCATGGTAAAATATGCAAGATATTTATTGCAAATGTTTGTGAATGCCTTTCTGTAAAACTATATTAAGTAAATACGTATTATCGATTGAGTATTTGCATTACTGAATATAGTAAGTAGTGCAATTTATCCAGAACAGTTTTATAAAGGACTGGATTATAAAGAATGAAAATTATGACATTCTGCTGGTTGTATCATGTCCCGCATATATATTGATTTTGTTTGTGTCGTTGGGTGGCCTAGATTCTTACTGTCCTTTGTCTATTGGATTCATACACTTCATACCGAGCGTTCTGTAAACATCATTCTATTAGCATAAAAGATACAATGCTTTGTACCTGTATTAAAAGAATATCTATTAATCTCAACTGGATCGAAGACTTAGTTGTCTAAATTTATAGTACACACGAATTTAGATTTCTACAAAGAAAGGTTCCCAAGAACCAACAAAAAATAAAAGCTGTTTATACTCTTTTATGATCTTCAGTTCCTCGGGTTTCTTTTTAAGATGTTTTGTTTTGACATGAATACCGTAGCTGGTTTATTGTGTTGTGAATATGTTTGGATTACTGGTTTATTGCTTCCTCATCGTTTGGACGTGAGATAGTCGGAAAAATAAGTATATGAAGTAGGCAACATTTTTTATACAGTTTACTGCTGAATATTGGCTTTAAATTTAATTCTAGAAAGCTTTATTTATATGTAAATTATTTAAAAACGTACTTTTTGTATTAGGAAATCGTAATGATGTATTGAACAATACCGTGCAGATTTTAGTACCACCAAGAAAAACAAAGGAAACTACGTACGTTAATTTCCATCTCAATACTCAAAGAGCACAATATCAAACTCGTTTATATATCCTGATCATGTAAAATAGTAGAAGAATAATAGAGTAAAAGTGTTCTCTAAATCTTATGATCAGAAATATATCCTATCACTTCCACTTATAGCCTTTGTTGAAATTGGGCTACAACTTTCTTCGGGTATTTAGCATTTTTATAACTCTGTGTATTTACAAGTAGCGGCATATAAATAGGGTAACTGGTCGGAATGAGCATGAGAACTCTCGCTAGTCACAATGTAGGTCATACAGGGTGAATTAAAGGTCAACAACACCTGAAGATATAACCGAGACATGTTATGTGAATCCGTAAGAATAAACTGTATAATACTGTGGACGAATTTGAAGAATTTGGTTATGAACATTTGAAATTTGTATTAGAAACAAGTCCTTTGTAAGGATAAAGTAAAGAAATTGATGTAGTAGAGTTCAAAACTTTTTCTTTGCTTTCTAACATTGTTAGCTTAAGATCGTTATACAAACCGATTTGATTATGCTAAAGAAATGACATGGTGTATTCAAGTGAAATATGGTGGTGTAAAAAAATAGTTTAATAGTGGTTGTACTTCCAACTAGGAAACTTTGGCATGCCCTTGTTCTTGGGCTAGGTTCTGTGGTGGCGGATCCGCTATCAGAACCTCTAGACATGCCCTTCAGCTCTTGTTGGTTCTAAGACGGTTACAAATATATTAAAATGTCTAAAAACAAATTCAAAAAAATTTTAAATAAACAATACTTGTTTGCGGTCGACCGTTGGCGGGATGGTCACCGGCCCGTAACAACCCTTAAAGCGAAACCTACCGCACCACCGGCGACGGCCAGGGCAGCCCGAAGAGAGAGGGAACGCGGTCGCGTGTCTCCACCGCTACGGAGGAGGTGCGGAACAGAGTACACCGTTCAGCTACCCGGTATATGGCATAGTCAGTCCTCAGACGGCACGAGAGCGCGAACGGATAGCCCAAGAAGCAACAGGTGTAGGCTAAATGTGGGTTTGTGTGTGAGAAACCACGCGAGTCGGTACATCGTCGATCCAGAAAATGAAAGTGGAAGAACCGCTTTGGTCCTCGGTGGAAATCGTCCAATGAGATTCGATTGGAAGTGACAGAATGATGCTTTTCTGATGTACACTACACATTTTTTTAATACTTAATTAGTGATTGATGTGTTTGCGTATGGATGTAACCACTTTATATAATCAAGACTATTGAAAAGAGGAAAGATTAAAGGTTTCCAAGTCTAACCTTTACTATCAAAGTTCGAAATACACGACGCGTAAACAACTTTTTGTGAGTGTCCCGGTGTTTACCAACAGACCTGCAGAGCACAGTTGTTTTTCGATAAGATAAGAAGTATGTAGACTTGCTGACACAACACCAACAAAGTATTCCAATTTTAAGCTTCGCATTGCTTCAGAAGATGTGTCGGAGGCCTTCCTTCCTTGGATAGTTTTCGAAAACTTGCCGCCTTCCATTCTTGGCCAACGCAATCGAGGAAGATGCCTTTGAGCACTGTTTGCGTCAGCGTAAGTATTTACCACATGCCATGATGATTTAAATACAATGCGTCTGAGAACTTTAATGTCTCGGTCAAATGTCTGCAGTTAAGGTTTTAGGGTGTCGCATGTCGGTCGGATATGCGGGCTGCTAAATCATTGTTCTAATTGTTGAAATTGGATAATTTAATGTCGGAGTTTTGATTCGACGGTTTCCATTCCAACTAAGAATGATTTTGGTATATTTAACCAGCCAAAAATATGAAATTGAAGATAGAATACAAAATTTATAAAATGATCCTTTTCAAATGTAATTCTGAAGAGCTCCATGATTCCTCAAATATGCTACCTACCTAAGTACTAACAGCTTTTACATTTATTTCAAGTCAACACTCATGATTTATTTATAATCTTTGATAAATCTCAAAGATGTATGTTGTGTACTGTGTCTTTCATTTGCAAATAAAAAATTCAATGCCTAATATGATTATCTTTATTCTCATTGGCAATATTTATATATTAAAGTAAATAAAGATAAGTGACAAATGCAACATGATCTTATGATATTTACCTAAAGTTATAAAAAATATCGGAAATATCCCTCGTATTAATTACTATATAGTGCAATTATTATTTATTAAATAGGTCTATTCTTGTCTTTAAATAAATATATCGCTTCTGGCCTTTAACTTAAAAATACACAGGGTGTCCACAAGCGAATGAACCATACTTTAAGGGTAATTTCCTTGCATGAAAATAAATCGATTTATACAAGTTACTTTAACAATTCTGTTTCCCTAAAAGGTTAAGGATCTTAAAAAATATTCCATTTTTTATGAGATTCCTTTTTTTATATTTTAATTATATCTGGTATCATTAGTTAGGTTTTGTCGTAGTTGATAATGAACTTAGGCTTAGGATACCTGAAGCTGTATTCTGTATTTTCTGCCATACCTAGTTGCTAGTTATCATCCTGGTACTGGAAATCAAATTCATTCTTTTGTAGCTATAATAAATATTTTTTTTACGATTTAAACTAACTTTAACAAACTGTATTCTAAGAAAGCTTTATATATTTTATTAGATGCTTTGATAGATATCTAAATCCTAAAGCAAATTTAATCTAGCAAAAAATATATCTAGTTTAAATAGACAACACTGCCATAAAAAACGCAGTTGTCTGTAATTGATAGTAGCAATAGAAAAGCTTTTCTGAATGTCTGTCACTATTTTTGGAAGGTATCTAAAAACACCTTTATTCAATAAATATACTCAGGAAATTCGTTCCGGACATCCAATGTTTATTTATACAAACTTTTCTTTGTTTAATTGTGAATATATCTTTGCATGTATATTTCTGGAGAATCATATGTTGCAGATTAATAGTTTTATCATAACATGTTGCATTAGTAATACTAAAAATGACTTGCAGTATTGTATAGTGACATAGTTGACAGGTGATGCGATAAATTGATTTTAGGGAAAAAAGACTTGCTACAGGTTTTGTTTTCGATGTATTGTGCAGCAGAATTAAACTAATCACTGGCAAAATTGGCGTGGAATTTAAAAATTATAAAATAATTGCCGCAATATCACGGAATTGTTTTAAGTTGTAGATTTTTAAACTTTGCAAGAATTGTCGCATGAAGAAATTTTAACAATTCGACACCCATGAAGTCATTGCCAGCAATTTGTTATTAGAGTTCCTTCTTCCAGTACTTTATTAAGCGTCTTTGATTAATGCATTTTTTTAAGTTACCCGTTTCTTTTAAGTTAAAATCCATTGTTTCCTTGGGCATTTACGCATTATTCTAATAGACCATTACACGTCAAAGTCCATCGCGCATCCCATGTCCTTAGAACCTTATGAATTATTTATACTGCGGTTTAAATAATAGCCCGTTGCAATAATTCCCTGTTGTGTACGTTGGTCTTACATATTGATCAACTTCGCACAAGCATGGGGTACGAAAATTTATTCTAGTTGACGGTGTCGAATTAAAACGACTAGAATATCGTATTGTCCCTGTTCCTATACTTGCCCCTTTTGGTGCGAACAAAGGGCGGCTTTTAACGATGCAGTGAGGAACTTTAAAGGGGTTTTAAATTACTTTGAAGTACCTTATTGTTATGTTACCCTCTCTAGAAAAGTCGCAAAGTAGCAAGAAAATATAAGTGCGGTAATGTTCAATTATTATAGAAGAGCATTTGAGATAAATATTTATCAGAGAATTCCAGAGTTTGTTATGATGTTTTTCATTTTAAATCTATCGAAGTCTGTAAGTTATTTTCCTTTGTACTGTTTGTACTTTATGAGTAGGTATTTAATTGAATAAAAAATAAATTATTCGTGTAATTCCTACGCAGTTGTTCCCATTCGACTACCCTTTGTATTATACGTAGTATGTGGTTTAAAGACGGGCGTGTCCTAGATCCACAGGACGAGCGACGCCACCTAAAATGCATTCATGTGACGGAGACGTGTCCGATAAGGTCCTAGACCGGATAAAAAGGACTGGAGATCTTTCTGGGTCGCCGTCGCGTCGTATTCTTCAAAACTATGGACGCTAGAACAGTTTATCATTGATTTTTTTCTCTAATTTAATTTCAAACATTTTTTCTTATTTATTTTAAATTAAATATCAGATAAAATTATGGATCTTCGTAAGAAATATACGGCACTATTATATAATGTGTGATTAAATCACTACATTTAATGTTACCATTATTCAAGTACTTTCTCTGGTTGCACCTCATGCATTTCAAAAAATTTAGGCGCGACTTCAGCCTGCAACACTGGATGTATTTGAATTAATGGGAATTTTATTTAAAATCTGACCTGTATTCTCTCTCCAGTTTTTAAGGATCCCTAGTTGTTTTGACTACCAAGTGAAACGTTTTCCGTCCCACAATCGGTTTCGATGAAATAGAGATTGACGCTGTGTTGTTAAGTTTTTTAGTTTTGTGGTATTCTTTTTTCTAAGTATCCACAACTATCTGCCTTAATCCAATAATTTTAGAAACTGACTTCTCGGAAATCCTTTCTATTATCTTTGCAAGTCACCGGTCCGTGAAACACAACAATTCATTTTTTATTGCGGTATGCTTTCTAACAAGCAAACTATAGTTGTAAGTGAGAATGTTTGTAACTAACACTTAAATCGTAAAAATTGATGCTAGAAACGTTCCCTTTATTTCGGAAACACACCGTATATAGAACGTAGGTTGTACTTTCTTGTTCGAGACTGACATACATGGATTAGCATGTGGTTAAGGGATAATAGTTTTTCTTTATTTCATTATCAACCGCACCCGGATAGTTAAACTAGGGTGTGGTTTGGGGGAGCGAGAGTCTAATTTGTTTTAAGGCGATGCTCTCGGGGTAGACGGGGGGTGTGAGCTTGGAAATGTCAAAGGGTGTGTTTCAGTGTTGATGGCTTTAGTTGCAGCAGAGTTTATTAGCCTTTGGGTTGGTAACTCAAGCAGAATAAAGAAATATTAGATAAAATGTAATGAGTTTTGCTTTAGTTAATTTTACACAAGTTTTCTGTAACAAAATTTGTTTAAGTGGTCCAGTTTTGTTTGTAAAAAAATATCGATATGTTTGTCTGCTATTTTGACATGAATACGGATGGGATCTAAAAACACAATCATTCAAGGTTAGCCATCGGGTTCTGGTGTTGGCGTGCAGAGATAAACATCAGTTATACTAAAAATACTTAAGATTGACCAAGAAGTTCGAGCAAATCACTACATCGAAAAAAGATTTATAGGTATTTTATAAAAGCACATGTCATAATTCGAAGGTTAACATGTTCAGTACGTGTATTTTAAAAATAAATCGCTATGCGCTGTAATTTATATAAAAATGTAAATTTTACTTCATGAAATATAAATGTATCCTTTTTTTTTCACTACGTAGAAGATTGTTCGTGTTATTTTTTAGGAAAGCACGGAAATAGAACAGTTACAAATCATGATTTTTATCGTTTTTCAAATATTGCATTTGCTATTTTATTTACCAATGCTTTAAATTTTCTACCTGAATTAAAAACTATTCTCTCTTAATGTTACTTCGAGTCTATTTCTTGTCTTATAGAAGTGATGAAATGTTTAGAGCAAATACTTGTCTTTCATTACGGGGAACAACAGTCACTGTTTTGTTGACTAATAATGTCGCAAGGTACTAAACGTCATTAGAAAAGTTTATGAAACACTATAGTTTTTATTGTCTTATACAGTCGTAGTAAATTTAAGTCTGAAAATTTTTCGGATTTGATCGGTACCTTGATCTAGATCATCGGAAGTTATTTTTTCAATTATATAATAGTGCACATCACGCATCAGTTGCCTGTAACCTTCATCTCGATTTCTCAAGCATTCACTTTTCCTACAGAAACAATATTGATGTCAATCTACATTATTCTCACGATAGTGAACATTATTTTAAGCAGATGTTCATCATTTATAGTTTGGAAGTATTGAATATATTTTATCCTTACTTGACTCGTCCATATCTAATTTTTTAAACTCACAAACTTAGTATTTGAACTAAATCTTTGTTTCACATTTCAATATCTTCCAGCGATGTATTTTTTCAACTAGCCGTGTGAGAAATATAATTTTACTTGTATACGAATGTCAAGTCTGTTCACCAGTGTTCAGCTATCGCTACAATTTTTTATAGTCGTTTATTACATGCTCAATAAGGATGTACATAAATTGTTATTGGAGATAAAAGTTTCATGGTAGCAACAGATAATCACAGCGGAAAGTATTTGTTCGTGACTAATAATAAAATGGAATCACTAGGTAGATGTTTCATTCTGTGGCGTCTTCTTATTGATCCATTAGGAGACAGGTAATCTTATTTTTGTTTACTGTACAACCGTACTCCTGTCTTTTTCTGAGAATAAGAAAAAAAATGTTGAATTAAACAGTAACATTTATGTAATGGTCGTAAGAAATAATTGCTTGTGTGTGTAATACTGATCTTTTGTACGAATATGGACAAAACAAGTTGCATTTCT